CCTGGCTGCATGCTTTGATCTAAGCTAGATAGATGTACAGATTCCGCTCTAAGTTACCTGCTACGAAAACTCCTTTGTCGAGCGAGATTATCAAAACTTGGAACATGAAAGATATACATACACCATGCAGGTAGCACGAAAAACTGTTTGATTTAGCATAACTTAAAAAATGAAGAGAAGAAAAAAGAGCTATCAAACTTACGCAAAGTGCATAGCATTCAGTAATGACTAACTTAAATTTTGATATGCGACGTGTGCATTTTTATGCAATATTGACCGAGATATATAGTCGCGTATGTTATTATAAACATGCCTCGTTTAACCAAAGATTTTGGATTTGTTTAGAGTTTTCAAGGGTAAATAATGATCGTGAGGTTATACGACGTTTGGCAGGTCGCTGGGGGTAACCTTCTTGCTCGAGTGACCTGACGGTGATGACGCAGCAATCTCGGTCAATATTGCATGAAAATGCGCACGGCATATATCTAAATTCCAATGAACATTGAAAAACATTTTACACTAAAATAAAGATCGTATATAGAATGCGAAATAACATAACTACTTTATATATTTTAGATATATATTGGTAGTTATTTAGTATATAGTGCTAAACTCTTATCTATTTAATTTTTTTCCATTCTGTACCAAAAAACAATGATCGTCTGATGGGCTAACATGACGCGAGCAATGCGCGCCTGCGTTCAGTGATTGAGAACAGTTGATGTTGAAACAATGTTAGAAAAATACTGGCGAGGTGCCATTGCATGCCTGTATTTCTAGTAGTATCTTAATCTGCTTCAAATTGGTATAAAATTCGGTATAAAGGCTTTGAAATGCATAAAATCTATATGTATATAGAAATAACTAAAATATTAAGAAATTGAAAGAATTTAGAAGTCTGACAATGAAGTCAATACACGAAGAATTGACGAGTACCTGAAGCATCCTGACCCTGTTAGAATTTGTCTGACTAGTGTGGTATTTTTATCTAACCCTTAGGATCAAGTTTTGCAGTGCTGTTGTCAAACAATACTAGTGCTATGTATAATCATACAAATCAAACAGGGACGAATCCATGGGCGGACAGTGATTGGAAGAAATTAACTGTATTTCGGGAGCAGGTTGTATTGACGTGTAAAATCCTATTAATTATTTTCGTTACTTGTACAATTTTGGGGAACACTTTGGTTTTGGTGGCGACCTGGAGAGAAAGCAGTCTTCATCAACCAAATAAATATTTTGTTGCTTGTCTGGCTGTCGCTGATCTTTTGGTTGGTATGATTTTAGAACCATTGACGCTGTATCAACTCAGTCTTCTTGTTGAATCGCGACGTACCATGTCTATTCACCTATGTCGTTTTACGGTGTGGATAGATACCTTCGCGTTATCAGCATCTATTTATACACTGACATTCATCAGTTTTGACCGATATCTGAAGATCAGGAAGCCACTTCAATATAGATCCAGAATGACAACTTCCAAATCATTGAAAATTATCTTTATCATTTGGTTGATTTCAACTGCCTTTGCCACCTACGCCGCCACTCCTGATTCAGGAAGCGGAGGAATCTTGTTTACAAGCATCAGATATTGCAGCCCTTTCGATGGTAATAAATTAAAAGTATTCAATACTTTTGTAGCGGTAAGTGCATTTTTTCTACCCACCGTAGTCATACTAGTTATGTACGCTCTCATTTTTGTTGTTGTTCATAAACGACAAAAGATGCTGAGAAATGGGGAACTGGGTCAAACCTGCAATGTTCAGAACCAACGAAGTGCCTTTCTACAAGATCTGAAGACTATCCGAATGTTATTGGTTGTCGTTGGAGTGTTTATACTTTGTTGGGGTCCTCACTTTATTTGTCTGATGCTGGCGTTTTACTATCCAAATTTTGTTGATAACGACAACCGCTCATTAAGTTACTGGTATTTGTTCTATGCAGGTGAGACACTAATAATCACACTCCCACTCTTTAACAGTCTATGCAATCCAATAATTTATGCCTGTCTCGACAAAACGTACAGAGAGGCTTTCAAAAATCTGTTTCAGCGAATGATGTGCCGACCAAGCTCAAGAAGACGACAACCACCTGAGGAAATAGAGTTACATCCACTGAGAAGAAGATAAGGCAACATTTCATTAATATTTTATAAATACTTTATTATCATTTCATAAATACTTACTGTACGTTCTTACTGTAAAGGAGAAATGTAAAGGATAAAAGGCCGCGCTCCTGGTGTAACAAACTTAAAGATGATGTCAAGTCTGTTCTGCGCATGCGAAATGTGAGGACCTAGCTCTGATGTAAACAATACCCAAATTGAAACAATAGCTAAATTGAAACTCTAATCTAAATTCATTTAAAAGCTTACCAAACCAGAACGATGTTAGATATTAACTAAGTGCATTGCATTTTATGAATATAGTGTATTCAAAATGTAAACAAACTGCACATCCGCTGAACGAACTTGACCGCCACTTTAAGACTAAAAAAACGTTACCGCCTGTTTTTAGCGCCAAGCCGTCTCGTCCTAGGTCTGTTGCTACATATGATCTTAAAGTTGTAGGGGCAGAAAACCAAACATTAATACAAACATAATTACAATTAATAGCATGGCATTCAGGGCATTAATGATTATAAGTTAAGTAAATATTTAAATGTTCACATGTTAAAACAATTGTATTATACCCTCATTTATCCATACTTAAGCTATGGATCTTTGAGTTGGGGTAGTAATTACTCAAGTAATTTAAAAAACTAACTGAGTGTGAAACAACATAATTGTGTTCGTAGTATCTTCTTTGTAAACAATAGACAATCTGCATCACCTTATTCTCAATTACATGAAATATTAAAATTAGAAAATATTGTCAAATTAAAAACTGCTATATATTAACACATAAATTGTTTGTCAACCCTTCAAGCGTTCCCTCACTACTTCATAACTTTTTAATGCCTGTGAAAAATATTCATAGTTACAATACAAGGCATGCAGCAAGATGCAACTTCTATCGGCCAAAAATAAGAACACATTTTGGAAAATTTACTTTCAAGTACTCTGCGCCAATGTTATGGGAGAGCATTACAATTTCCTTAAAAAAGTTACCAACGACCAGTAATTTTAAAAGACAGTATACAGTAGATTTACTGTCAAACCAAATTAATAACCCTTAGTTAAATTGGGAATGTACGACTTGATTTATTTTATACCTCAATGGATTGGTTAAACAAATAAATTTTTTACTTAATTAATGATTAAGTTAATCAAAAAATAGCTTTAATTTTGTGTATTATGCTAACTTTCTTTGCTACTTTTCTTTCTCTTCTTTTGACCAAGAGTTCAATTTATTGACTGTAAAATCCAAATAGTAATGAGATATATGCAATTAGCTCAAAAATTTATCTAATAAATCAAAAGTAGACGGTGGCCAACTCGAAAGCTTACTGTATGCTACTTTGGTCACCGTGCACAATTTCAATATCATAATTTAAAACTTTTTAATGTATTTATACCGAATAGGCTATACATCATGAATATCTCTTCTAATGTAATATATACGCCAAATAGTGTGAATAAATTGAACTTGAACTTGATTAAATATACCCGAAAGCCGAGAGAGGTTTAGTAAAAGACTTTATATAATAACTACAGTGAAACACGCAATTTGATTGGTCAACAGCCGTGCAGGATCAGACAATCCTGCACGAGAAATTCCGAACAGAAATTATTGCACATAATTTTACAAATATACTCACATTGTAAAGTTTCATTGTACGATACCTTTCGACTTTGAAGTAAGTTTCCAATTATCGAGACGTTGGTTTAGTTGTATGAATAAATTTCTGATCGATACATTGCTATTCAGCAAGTAGCAACGCGTAAGCGTTGAAATTCATCAGACCATGGCATGCAAGTACAACATCTCTCGCTTCAAAGTTGATCAAACGCTTCGCAATCTTCACATATTCAGGTCGAGAATCTTCAAAACTACTTTGGCTCTCTGTTTAGCGGGTTTTCCATTTCAAATTTCGTATATTTTATCGAAAAAGTCCCTGTATTTTCGCTGTATATTTTCGCGAATTTGAGATCAAATTCTGTTCACGTATGTTGTTGTTTTCAATAGCGCGGAGTAGCGATTCTCTGATTGGTTAATTCACGAATGTTGTGAGAACTGCACATTTCATCAGTAATTTTAATCAAGTTAAGCGTCGTTTCATTGTAGTAATTTTATAAAACAATTACTAAATGGTTTTCCCGTGCAGGATAGCATGATCCATGCACTTGGGATGTTGCTCGACTTTCGGAAAGCGTAAAAATACACTCGCCTACGGCTCGTGTATTTTTACGCTTTCCGAAAGTCTCGCAACATTCCTCGTGCATGGATCACGCAATCCTGCTCGGAAAACCATTCGGTATTCCTTTAGTAATTATGCCATGCAATCACTTTGTAATATCAGGATAGCTACAGAGACAACAGAACGGTTTCATGCGATTGAAAGGCGCGTTTGCTTTTTTATACTAATGACTATATTGGGGTGTTCGTTAATGTGGTTACGGTTGATTTTTCATGTGTGTTAAATATTTAATTGAACATCAATATAAGAGTTATATATAAAGATGAGGGACGATTGGTAACCAATCGTCCCCTGGGGTAGTTAGTTTCTAATCGTCCCTCATGTTTTAGCAATGAGGTAAATTAGTCATTAATTGTCCCTCGCGTAACAAAGGATTTCGAGGTATGGTTATGTTACTAAATAAAAAACATACGCAAGCAATTAGAGGTGTGCAAATCCGATCCGATCAGATTCGTTCGGATTTCGAAACAAACATATACATTTCGGATCGGATTGATAAAGTTGTTTCGTAGTCGGATCGGATCGGACTTCGATATTCGAAATAAAATGAATATTAATTATCCACGCATTATCGCAAGAATTAATTATATCCATGCATTCATCAAAGCATTATCACGGTTGTCGCTGCATTATTCGTTTGATACTTCAATTGGACGTCACTTTGTCAGCTTCTTGACATGTATTTCTTGCTTTTATATTTATTTGGTTAAATATTTCCACTTGAATGAGAAATTTATTTTATTAAAGGATTCTTCGGATCGGATCGGATAGGAATTCTTTATCAAAGCTCGAATCGGATTCGGATTAGACAATTTCACATCGGATCGGATTTTAAACATTAGCCAATTGTCGGAATATCAACGTCCAATCCGATCCGATGCACACTTCTACAAGCAATCATCTTTTTCAAAATTACCATTTTGTTTTGAACCTTACACGGCAATAAACGACAAATATATTTTCAAAGTTAATCTAAACAGGTCTTTTCAAATTATATTTTGCCCTTGCACAAACAATAGCAAATTCTCAGTATGCGGTTACTTTCTTTTACACAAGGACCTATATGACGCATGTAATTACACATTTTGTCTTTGAGCATTCAATTGAGTTAAACTATAAGATAGGTCAGTGTCGAATGTTTTACGTGTTCTTTCGACAACATGGTCCCTTATTTTTTATGATCGATATAGTATCATATAGCATTTTTTGATTCTACAATGTGTATTATCATACAGGTGCACCCACACTGCTTTGGGTACCTCACCCCACACCCTGGACTCCCCTGACAATAACCAGGTCATCCCCCCCCCCTAACCGGTGGACTGTTGGACCGCTAACAAACCCACGCTGGCGCAAACTACCTCATCTTCAAGGCCATAACCTTTATAGCGTAAAGTCTTGTGGTGCGACAGTTAACTAAGATGTAACCTTAATATGAACAGCTGATATACAGGGTGTATAAAAAAACTGAACAGATTTGAAATTGCTCTTAATTTCGCAAAACAGCTATTAGAATCCAGTTTTTTTTTATGTATATAGCTTCTTTGCATGGGCGCAAAAAATTCTCGAACTCAAATTTTGTGAACCAGGGGGTGTGTCTTTTCCAACACACTAAAAATGGCTTGCGCACGAAATTTAAAAACTGTAATAATATTTTGAGTTCATAAATGAAAAATTTGTTGAGTTTTTAATTGCTGTCCAAATTTTTTTCCACACAATTTGCTTTGTTTAAGCCCTTTAACTATTTGCACAAACTTACATTTTTTCCTAAAAATCAGCTATTTGCATGCTTAAGTACACCTGAAAAATAGGGCGATATAAAATGTTTTATCTTTGGACAAGGTTACATCCAAACCCCCACAAACTATATATTAGTAGAAAGCTTAGAACCTGGAGATTCAGAAAAAAAATATATCAAACAGTGAAAAGCTGTATTAAGGTGGCTCTGCACCGTTCATCAAATTTTCGGTTTAGCTTTATTCAAGAAAAGATTGCACTAGCTGTGTATTATGAAATTTGATTATTTATACATTTTTTAAATACTTACATAGGGATTATTGTTTTAAGCATAGAGAATTTTGATTGACAAAAAAGAAAAAAAGTTATGGGTTTGGGAAGTTAGGCGTCAAATTTTTAAAAAGTAAAAATTGTAGTAACTTTTGATATTTTTACTCAATCAAAAATCTCTATGCTTAAAACACAAAGCTAAGTGAGAGGAGCATTCTCTGAAAATTTCAGTACAATCCAATAAATTGTTATCGAGATATCTTTTCTCAAAGTCTAAAATATCCGAAAATGAGAAAAACGAGTTTAAAGTCTCTTGTATCGAAAACACTTGATTTTTCATACATTTTGAAAATCTTAAGCCTGGATAATTTAAATCCTAGCATTTACTTGGTGTTTTAAAAAGTTTTGTTACAGTTTAAAATCCTCTAGCCTCTTTAGGTCACTCCTTCAGCTTCCCAAATAGCTTCTTCCCGTTGCGTTCAAATCAGTTTCTCTCCTTGGCGTCGTTTCTTCTCTTTTTCAGTTGCCTGTAAATCAGATTTCTTCATTCGCTGCACATCGATCTTGCATCACAAGCTTGTTTTGTTTTACCCCCAGTGTGAATGGACAGCCGTTTCATAACACCAAGTCGACTCTTTGCTCCAATATGGAAGTGGGGGAATAGCGGCAGCTACAGGACATTGCACTGCTTTGTGCCCATGTTGTTTATGCTTTGGATACCTAGTCCAA